ATTTCTTCGAAGATAATCAACAAAAATTTAAAAACATGCTTCTTTTTCTCTCTCCCAACTTTCTTCCAAGTCACGTGTGAGGGTAAAAATGGAAAAATGTTGGACTTTTAAGTTTTTTTTTTTAATTTTTCCTTTTTTGAACTTGGTCAACGGCTATTGTGAAAAAGTAGCCAAGTCAACCAGATATTTTCCACCATTTCCTCCTCAAAGGCACTTCTGGATTTGTCATTGCTTTGCAGTGAAAATTGTAAATGTTCAACCTGAAATGGTGATTAGATTAAAAAATAAAATAAATCTTAAAACACATTGAAAAATGATGGAATCCGATCTCTAGTGCTGCAATTTTACTTGTGTCTAACTCAAAGAGTTGGATGGTTCAATCGTTAGGGCTTGACTTTGCAACTGTGACGAAATGTTGAAGAAGAACTTGGACAATATGTTAGGGGACTAATGGTGCAATTTTCACAAAGTAAAATCAAAATATACCAAGTGCTAAGGAGACGCTAAGACCATGTAAGTACCAGCATCTGCCTCCGGACAACATCTACAGGATAAGTGGTAGTTTGTCCAACTAAACCGGCTAGAGCTCCACAACGCATCAAAATCGACTTTTGGTGCTCTTTGGGAATGTGCCTCTTGAGTTCCTCGTAGATGTGAAACTTTAATCCAGCATAGGGAAGAATGCCAATGAGAGTTGGACCTGCTCAAAGAACATCTTGCTTTCCAAGTAAAAGTGTTATTGGTAAAAAATCAAACCAAGTATGCGAGATTTAACAAGATGATCAACCTTGAATAGGACTACACAATATGATTAACGAGATTTTAACATCTTTTTATTCGTTAATATTGTGTAACGCTAACTAATTTTCTGTATCAAACATGCCATTCAAAGTCTAGCCAACTATAGATATCAACCAACACAGACAGCAAGCACTGCATTTTCGAACATACATTGCCATTGTGTAACATTTATGTATCCTGATGAATACGATGAGTCATTAACATCATAATGTCAAGTATTGGTAGCACAAAGTATGGCATTCACATACCTATGCCCGATTAAGCACACGCACTCCCCCAACTTTGTAGACTCTATCCATGACATTCATTATTCCGCTATGGGTAGGCTGAGCTTGAATTCTCATGCCATTCTGCATGGTTCCTCTTGTGTCTACAATACATAACAGAACCCACTATATTATAATAAATAGCAAAAGAAATTGCATGGAACTCATTCAACCCATGGATCAAGTCATCAAAATAATAATAATAATAACAACAACGGAAGCAAAAGATGTACCAAAATCAAATTCATCTAAATTAGGGTTAAAGTGATATTAGTGCCAAGGGAGCAAACCATATTTATAAGGACGGCCCTAAGATATTCAAGGTCCAGACGACAAAATTATTACGAAACTCTTAAATATAATTTTTTATAAATGTATTGATCTCTTTAGTATCATTCATGTTCAAATTGATTTTTTTATATTATTTTTGAAAAATTAAATGAGCATTTTAAAATAAATAACTTATTTTTAAATTTCATAAAAATTAATTTTTTAATTTGTTTAAAAAAATTATGAGCTTACTATAAAACTATGGGAGATTTTTTTTTTTTTAAAAAAAAAAATTAAGCCCATTGAGGATGTAAATGTCCAAGTGTCTTGGGCCTCTTATTTAGTTCATTATGTTATTTAGTCATGTCTTTTAAATGGAATAAATGACTCAACTCAAAAAAGAAATGAATTTTTTTGTTGAATTTTTGAGCTTTTAATTTTTTGAGGCCTCTCAAGAATTAAGGCCCAAGGCAATGGCCTAGGTTGCCTTGGGTCAGAGTCGGCCCTGCATAATTAGCAAGTGTTTGTAGTAGAATAATGTTATCTAGTCCCAATGGTGCTAGAGCATCAATTTAGGTGACTACACTTGATAGGCCAATTAAATGGTCATGCGACCTTGCATTTAAATGATTCTATTATTTAATGTTATCGAGTTTCCATCTATACAGGTGTTTAGCACATACGTGGCTGAATAACATCACTCTTTGTATTGAGTGTTGCATTTTATATTTATGGAGTATTAGTATTAAAACTTACAATCAGTGACACAACAAAATTTTAAACATCACAGTCATGACTGACTTCAATTGAACATAAATGCTTCATAAAAACTTCTGTGTCAATTAAGCTATCACAAGTCATTTACCAAAATCATGACCCATCTTTGAGTTGTGACTAAAAAAGCAGGTGATAATGGAGTATGATGTCTAAATATTAAAAACCTACTTCAACTTTCAATTTAAAGAAAATCATAAAGCTGAATTTCTTCAACCTGAATTAAGAAAGAGCAAGAAAAAGTTATAGGAGAAGAGAAAAGATTCAATAATTTTGATTTGCTCCGCTTTTATGTCTGATGATGTAGGGCATTAGCCCACTTGAATACATTGCCCATATAGATTTAGGTTCCAACAAATTTAAGGAGATTCTCAGTAGATGTGAGCTTTCTCAGAAGAACAAGCCAACTGACTTATAAAACCTAGTACCTGGTAAGCAAGTTTGGTGCAGGCCAAATCCCAGGGATAAGTACATAAAACAGCAGTTCCTACGGCTGCTGAACCGGCTAAAAGATCTATGACGGGTCCTGTTCCTAAAGCAAAGCAATTATCAAAAATCCAGGACCAGTACTGCTCATAAGTCATAAAATGTAACGCTGCATATGGAACAATTCGAAGGACGCTAGCAACACCTTCTTGATTCAGTAGCTTCTTTAGAGATTGATAAACCGCAAGTGTATGAAAGCCTTGAGTTCTTGTCTAGAGAACGATTAAAAGATATTAATAATGTCAAAATGGCGCGATGTCAAAAAAGGTGTAATGCATAACTGCCAAATGTCTACGAACCAAGATACAGAAAACCAGAAATCATATAGAGAAGGGTGCATGCACGCATCATATACAAGACCAAATAAAAAAAAAGTATCATGCATAAGGTTGGCTCATCATCTGCTGCAAAATATCCATCAAGACCAATAACATGTATCAAGAAGGTGCATAAAGGCATCATGGTGAACCACACACAATGGATTACTAAACCATAATCGCATACAATGAATCACTAAACTTCACTTGGCAAAGAACAAGTAAAACTGCTTAAAGAAACTTCATCCATTAATCTTTATCCAAAAAGATGCAAAATAAACAACAATTTCGAACTTAACTAACACCAAATAGAGAGACAGAGCAAATAATGGGCATGGCGATTAATAAATTAGCCTGTCGAAGATAACATATACCTGCAAAAGTATTTTAATTCGTTCCAATGGGGCTACTGCAGTTTTAGCAAATGCACCGGCAGCACCTCCAGCAATCAATTCCTTCACATAGACAGGTACACAATCCATGTACTTAGCCTCTTCATATGAAGAAGATTCATCTACATATCCTACCACTTTCCTTGACAGAGTAGACCATTGTGAAGACTCCACTTTCCAATTATCGAAATCGTAATCCTTTCTTACAAATTTGAAACAAATTCTTCAAGAGCTAATTATCCACCAGGCAATTGGTAGAACTCTTTATAGTTATCCCCTTTATGTATGGGGAGACAGAACAAAAACACTGTTTGCTCAATAGGCAAAATCAATGGCCTGAGAACACACCTTATGTTCAGAAGCCAATCCTTATCTTCAGTAGAAAGAAGATACATCAAATAACTAAATTCAATAGAAACACCATTTCAATCTAAACAATACCCCCCATGGATCTGTAAACAATATCTTGAACCTAAATCCAAAATCCTTGGAAAATTGACCCAGTAAGTCAATTCAACAATAAACCTATTACTTCTTTCGGTTCAACCCAAATCAAATCATGCAAATTAACGTTACACAGCCAAAAATTCAATGCCCAATTCAAATCAATCAAGAATATCCAAGACCCTGAAATTATATTTTGGATAAAATTGGTGAGAAACGTGTAGTGGGTTCCAGCATTCAAGGGTAGATTCGAATCAAATAAGCTGATGCAACGAGTCAAATTCAATACGTATGTTACAATATCAATCATGCTACAGACTCAATTATTTATTTATTGGATGAAAAGGCAAGTGGCTTCCCTAGAGAATATTGTTGAATTATTCTTGGTGCTGTACACTTGTTTTTCGTATCCTTGTTCCCTGATTTATTGGATGGCAACTGGCTTTCATTTGACTAAAATCGAAGGGTTTATGTTAGGACGAAAGAGACCGTTACGACAAGTACTAGGAAGCTCAGAATTAAACCCAACCCAGCCCACGTAAATAATCATATAATGACAAAATTTAGGCCCCATTAAAATATTAATACATTTTTTTTTCTTTTTAACTACACATTTTCAAATAAAATAATATTACACGTAAATCGAAAAATTTTCTTCTTTTTTTTAACTACACATTTTTCAAAAAATTGCTATTCCAAAATCTCATTAAAATCGGCGCCAAACAGCCATGTTGGTTAATAAATAAAATCCTATTGATAAGTGAGTACTTTCTTAACTACAACTTCGAAGGAAACTGAGCAACTTTTTTAGGATATTTTTAGAGCGCACTATGATTTTTCTATTGTCCACCAAAAGCGTGTGTATTCTCATCCATTAACGTATATAAAATATAAAAGCTAAGAGATAGATACAATTTTTCATCGTATATTCCATAATTTTTCATCGTATACCGCCCCGTTTGACACCCATTCTATTTCTAATTTTTTTTTTCTTCATTTCGACCACACATTCTATCAATAAAATAATATTACACATAAACTTAAAGATTCTTCTTACTTTTTAACCACATATTCTTTCATCAATTACTTTTCCATAATTATTTTGGAACGCTTTCTAGTTGATTTATGTTTTTGGGAAAATCATTGGATTCCACGATTTGGAAATTAAAGTTAATGTGAATTATGATTTTACATGAAACGATTGAATTCTTAAATTATGTTCCAAGCATTTTACATAAATGTAAAACAAAATGAAAAAAAACAGAAAAACATATTACGCCCATGTTTGGTATGAATTAAAATATAAATTTTAATCTAAGTTAAAATCAACGATTAATTTTAACCACATATTTCATGAGACCCACAACTTTCAATCATACATTTCATCAAATTTTATCAAAATCTACTAAAAATCTAATTTTAATCCTTACCAAAGAGGGACTAAACATTTGTACTAATTTTAAGATGTAGTGCAATTCATCTTAGGAAAAGTCTACATGTACATAATATATGTACATAATAGTGTCCATAATGTGATGTGGACAAAATCCTGTTGTTGATATGAAAGTGTGAGATTTCAATTAATGGTTGGATCCAGTGCCACGTATAATTATGAACACCATTATGTATAGATTTATATACATGTAGCACTTCTTTTCATCTTAACTCGTGATTATAAAACCAAACTTTAACACAATTATAAAAAGTGCAACTTGAATCAATAAATCCATCCATTGTTCACTTCATTTTCAAAAACCATCATTACATGCAGACTATCAACTTTCTTGTCATTATGAGATGGATTCTCATCAATGATAAACCACTGGACTTTAAATTTTTTGAACTATCTATTTTAATTGAATAGTTTTTCTATCAAATATATCTTATTAGGCAATGTCTTCATCAAAACAATGTATCAAGGGGCAGTCCACAAATCTCTAGCAATTTTTGAATCATCAACTTGCCTAAAATAGAAGTATATGCAATTTCATTTATTTCTTCAATTTTTGCAGTCTCAAAGAATGTAGTTGGATCATCAAGGGCCTTCGAGACCCTCTGTTGGACCAGTATATTGTATGACCCTCATTCTCTGTTTTCAAATGGCTTAGTCACCCCTTTAATAAGTTAAAACAAGACAATCTAATCATCGAACCTGTGTTAGGTTATGTGTCTATCTTAGTCCTATTATTTATTTATTATTCAATCTTTTTTTTATCAAACGTGTTTAAATATCAAGTCCAAAGCAAATAGTAGTATTTTAATATCTTGATTTTGGTGCAATGTGCTTTTCGTATTTATTAACGAATAATGCTGAACGAACATGGCCACATCAACCCTGTTAGTGTAGCACGACCGTTTCTTAACTCGTGAATAAAGTTTAAACAAAATATATAGACCAAACTAGAAGTCCGTCGAACGTTTATTGACTCGTGATGTATGTGTGCTTCGCGTATTGTTAATAACTCAATATTTACAAGTAATCCAATTATATATTTTAAACATTTTATATTTATACCTTTAAATGTAGTCAATTTTATAGTTGCTTCCTTACATAGGGAAAAAAAATAATTTAACTTTAAATATAACATCCTTACGTAACGTACGATTATAATTTATATTATTACTACTTGAAAAATAAAAGTTAGACTTTCAACCTAACAAGTTTCTTATACAATTAGGACCCCTTGGTCGAAAAGAGATAATATCCCACCCTCACTTATCTAACCAATGTTGAGTTTTATTTACGGATCTCCAATATTTTCTTATCGAATGGAACAACACGTTATCTTGGCACGTACTTAACCATAAATTTCAACACTATATAAGAAATACTCTCCAACCTCGTTTCAGAAAATAAAGATATTTCTTATTCGGGAAATACATCAAAACTTTCATTATGTACCTACAAATTTTATTAATCACGTGAGCATCGAAGGTTCTCGACAATCAATGAAGTCACGTTATCGTAATATAGGAAAATTAAGCGGCCTAAGTGAATGATAAAAAGGCAACAAGTGAAAGAGCGATTCAAGGAGAGTCAAAAATAGGCTGATTTGGATTAACCCGAGTAGGCTAGGACCCTTTCTCAAGGCTGTGGATTGGACCGGACGGTTGACTTGAATGGTCTAACCAATCATTTTTAATATATTAGCTTGAGAATCGATTGTCAAAGCTAGCTAGGCCAAACTGTTCAGTCCATGAAGACTTGTCCCTAGCTAGACCGAACTGTTTAGTCCATGAAGACTTGTCACATGATTTAGCGAGACTAGATTTTTAGGTCATGCATGACCTATATATTATGACCTAACCAACCATGAACTGGTTAGTGTGGTGTCGATTTTTTAACAGATAAACATCTTTTGACATTACTAAGAGTATCTCCAAGAGATTCTTTAATTATGAGATGCTCTCTATTTTAAAGAATGAACATTTAAAATCATGCTCCAAGAGACTCTTTAAATTAACATTTTAATTTAGAGAGAGAGTCAAACTCACTATTTATAATTAAATGCATTCAAAGTGTTTCAAATTTTAATGTAGGAAAATAATAAAATAATCTAAAGAAAAACTAGTTAAAATAAAAAATAAATAAAAATAATAAATATTTTTTGGGAGTAGTAAAATAAGTGTCAAATATAAAGAGTTTGTTGGAGTATTTCAAAATTTTAACTCTCTAAATTTATAGATGCTCCCCAAATGATAGAATATGTTCTTTAAAGATAGAGAGTCTATTGGAAATGTTCTAAGGGGTCCATTTAGCAGATTTTTTAAAAAAGTCAAATTATTTAGGGAAAATTGCGGCGCCAGTCCCAAACCTTTAATTTTACTGCAGATTACACCCAAACCTTTAATTTTTGCGGCGCCGGTCCCAAACCTTTATATGTAGTTGCAGCATTAGTCCATATCAAGCCTTCCGTCTGAATTTCCGTTGGTCAAAGGGAAAATCTGGATGTTGACTCAAATGGGAAGTTAATTGGAGGGCAAAATTGTCAAAACAACCATTATACTACCCCATTACCCAACCAAACAAAACATCTCCCTCGCTTTTTATTTTATTTTACTTTATTTTACCTAATGTATATTACTCTCTCTCTCTCTCTTCAACTCCAGTTGCACATTTTAGAAGAATGCAGAGAAGCTTGGTTGACAACCATGGAAGTGAACGTGTGGTAGGAAATTCGTGCTTCTCTTCGAGTAAGGAATGAGATGGAAGCTGAAATTTGGACCCATTTGGTCGACGGGAAATTGTGGGTGGAGAAGCTGGATATTAGGATTTGTGATAGGGGTTGTTGTAACTTGGATCTGTAGTTGTATGTTAGTAGTAGAAGAATGGTTTTTACTGTCTTGGATTTATTGTTTTGATGGTTGTATTTCCCTAATATTAACAAATGAAGTACGTGGTTAACTTAAATTTGCTCAGTGGTATGAAATATGAATGCCTGGTTCGAATTACCAGTTTGAACAGAAATCCCAAAACTTTTGTTGATGGTGCAGCGTAGGTCCCAAACCTTCTGTACTTTATAGTATTGGGTCCCAAACCTTTGTAAAATTAGTCAGCATAGGTCCCAAACCTTTGTAAAATAGTTCAACAGAGGTCCCAACAATTTTGTTTAGTTCCTGTATAAAAACACCAGATTATGCATCAAAAAAATGGAACACCTGCTATCAACACTGCAATTTTCCATTGTCATTAGCAGTTACATTACAATTTTAGTCATTCCCCAAAAACCAAAAAAACCACATTACATTAGTTTGACCATCTTGGAACACCTGGAATATACAAAAGAATGGGAATACTATTTCATCCATTACACCAGCATCAAACACCAAACAAAAGGAGAGAACATTAGTTTTTCATCCATTCCCCAAAAACAAAATGAAGCAAGCTAGGAGGACAAAAAAGCTTTCATTAATTTGTGTCCTTCCCCTTGGACTTCTTCTTTCAAGCAGG